GAGCGCGCCCAGCTCCGCCCTCCGACACGCGCGCGAAAGGGAGGGGAGCCAAGAGAGGGAAGCGCCCGAAACCGCGCGGAGGAAGGCGGGGGCGGGACGGGTCCTCGGCCCCACCCAGATGCACAGACTCCTCCCTCCCCGCAGCCCCTCGGCGTGGGAGGGAGTCCTCAGGGATGTCTAGGGGCTCTCGGGGGTCTGGGTTGCGGGGCTGTCCCCAGACCGCGGGAAAGGGGAAGGCGAGACGCCTACATCTTTTCATTTCCCATCTTCCCAGGTGAGCCAACCCACATCCCTCTTGTTACAAATCCGGCCCTGTGCCCCCTCCCCGTACCACCCCACCGCTGAGTTCCCTCAATGCCTGTGAATTCCCACGATGGAGTTCACCTACATCCACCTCATGCTCTTTCCAGTTTCAAGACTTCGTCATTTCCCTCCAAAACCACCATCCATCGGATCCCTGCCCATCAGGGTCCTCCCATCCCCCGACCTCACTAAATCCCCCTCCCTTTTTTGCCCATTAAAATGGACACTGGGCTAGTGCTAGGTTGGTCATTCCACACTCCAGAAAGAGAAATTCTGTGTTTTATTCCAAGGCCTCTGCCCAATCCTACTCATTCTGCTCCATCTCTGCCCTGTCTCACATTCTAAGACTTCTGGGTAAGAAAGTCTTTCTTGGAAGATAAAGGATTTCTCAGGTTGAGACAGAGAAAGGCTAGAACTGTGGGCTGCAAAAACAAAACTTGAAACCCAAGGGTATGGGCCTGGTGGGAGTTGGGTAGAGGGCCACGGAGCAAGGAGCAGTGATAAGAGGCTCAAAATGTCCTCAAGAGTCAAAGAAGGAGCTGGCTGGAGCCCCACACTTCTTGTGCCTGGTAACTTTCAAGGTTTTAGTTTGGATTTGGGTTTGGGTTTTGGAGGAAGGGAATGGGAGAAATGGGAGAAAACCTGACATTTTATTAAGCATCTACATTTTATCTCACTAAAAGCTTTCAACTCCCCAAGAAGTAAGCCTTATCTTGTTTTACTGTGAGACTTCAGGCTTAGAAGAAAGTATGCAGTTACAGTTAGTAGAAAACATAGGGGAACATTATAACCACTCCCAGCGATATTCTGGGTACCCTGAGGGTGCTATCCTGCCATATATCTAGTCATCTGTTGCCTGCAGGAGCTTAATGGACAGCAGCACCTTGGAGCTGGAGAAACCCCACAGTTTTGGAGAGGCCACTCCTGATACACACCCACAATATTCAAGGGCCCCACTAGGAAGTACAGGATCTTGAGATACAGGAGGCGTGGCTTTTCAGACCAGAACAGAGAGCTTCTACCAGGGATCCCAGAGAAAGGCCATTGTGAAAGGCTAAGAGAGCCAGTGGTAGCGTGGCGAAGGCATAACATATGCAGAAAACGATTTCTAAAGGCTCCCTGTCCCAGTGTCGTATACTGGCTGATGTTTTACAATCTAAAGAAACTTAATTTATCTCCAGAGCAGATGAACCTGTTTAGGGCCTGAACAGAATAGCCTGGAGCTCAAGGTCCAGGAGGGGTGGGCAGCTTCACGGAGAAAGACACAAGGATGACAGAACACACAAATTCTGTGGGAGAAGAGAGTACTCACCATTCTACCGTGGTGAGGGTCCTGGCTGCCTGCTTTTCACTGTAAGGAGACATAAGAGTAAAGAACATCATTAACTTTACCATGGAATCAACAAATGCTATATATATATATATACACACACACACACATAGCTACTCCTGAACTTCTCTACAATCCTTATTCTCATTCCTCACCCAGAGTCCAGCCTCTCTACAAGTCACCATGCCAGACAGAGGCAATGGCAGGTACATGGGGAGAAAGCAACAAGTGATTCTACAGGGTATGAAGTCAGCCACGAAGTTCTGGAGCAAGAGTAAGTATCATCCAAGATTATTCAGCAGAATTCAAGAGTCCTGATTTCCAAGCCCAGAAGGAGAAGTGCAAAAACACTCCAACCCCCTGTTCTTTGCGGGAGAACAAAAGAACTGCCACCTCTGACGAGACAGAGGCTGCTCAACCAGGACTCACTCCTGGCCCTGGTGGGGACATGAATCCACGGGAATGCTCTGCTGGCCTCTGAGACTGGGAATAGTACCCACCTGACCTGTCTACTGGGGGCAGAGTCCAAGGCAGAGGGCAGAGGGAGGGGACCACAACCTGTGATCAGAAGGCAGCAGGGCTGCACAGGTCCTGCCGAGCTACTTGACACTAAGTGGGTTAGCGAGACGAGGCCCACAATAAGGACGCAATCAGGCCTCGGAGACAGCACCTGTCAAATGGGCACAAGCAACAAATTTCAGGATGGGCCTCCTTGGCCCACTGAGGGCGCAAGGCCCGGTTTCACTGACACTTTCTTTCATGCCTGCTCTCTGAGCTCGGCGAGTCTCGTAGTACCCGCTTCTTCCCAGGGAGCAGGATAAAAGCCTCCATCTGTATTCCTGCCCACCACCCTGATCACAGCCCACGCTTCCTCATGGGACAGCCAGCAAGCGGCACGCCAAAGGTGCTGCCTCACCGCCTACTGGCACGCAGCCTCAGGGAAACGGAGGGAGAAACATGGACCAAGTCTGGGAGGCCCAGGGTTCCTAGACCTAAGGGATCTAGCCCTGGGGGTGTGGGGGGGGGGCGGGCCAGGGTGGCAGGGGAGCCCAGGTCCCGGCAATTTTATATGCCACCTGCAAGGACTACGACCCTGACGGTCAGTCCTGACGTGGTGTCTGCATTGGCTTCGAGCACCGGGGGGGGGGGGGCGGGCCAGGGTGGCAGGGGAGCCCAGGTGCCCAGGTTCTAGGGGCGGAGCCTAAAGGCCCGGAGGCGGAGCCCCGAATGACAGAGGGCGGGGCTCACGAAAGCCGGTGGGGTCGGGGCGGAGCCGGGTAAGACGCGGTCTTTGCGGTTCCCAGACTGGCAGTACACGGGGCACGGTGACTCACCCAGGCGGCGTCCGCCCGACCCTCCGAGGCCGCGCTCTCACCACTTCCGTCTCCCGCAGCTGCTGAGGCCGCGCAGCTACAACCCCACCACGGTGCCCCTCTCCCCAACCAATCGTATCCCTCGTCTGTGCCCGCCCTGGCCAATCGCCACCCTAAGTCCCGCCCTGTCTTCACCACGCAGCCACCGCCCTCACCCTTCACGCCGCTCATTGGTCAAGTTGGGCAGACGCCCTCCCAACCTTACCCTATCGGGTGCCCGAAGACAAGACTGTACCTGGAGGGATGAGGCGCGGGACTGGAGAAGAGATGCGACCAATGGGAAATCACAGCGCGTCCCTGCGGCAGCCAATGGAAAAGCAATAAAAGCGGGGCTGCTGGCTAAGGCTCCAGGGGCCGGAAGTAGGAGAGGCCCGTCGCCTACTGGTAGCGCAATTGAAGGCGGGGCCTTGTAGGGTCACAGGCCCTTACAGTCACTTCCGGTGACGACCTCTCCTTGGGAATATTTGTCAGAAAGGTCTCCCGTCCGCCCTCAATCTATCCATTTCCCGTCTTGGTTTCGCGGCGGCCATCGCGTCCCAAAGCGGAAAGGGAGGAGAGGCCCCGCAGGCTAAGAGAAGGAGGAGGGCTTGGGCCTGAGGCTCCGTCTCTCTCTCCTCCGCCTGCGGCGGGGTTTTCCCTCTTCCGCGTTTTGACCCTCACTTTCTTCGGCGAATGCGCCCTGCCGTCCTTCATGACCTGCATGGCTCCGTCAGTCCTGAGTAAAGACCTCACGTCTGAGAGAGGAAATCCGGACCTGAGACTGCCATTAGCTAGCGGCCACCGCCTAGTCTGTGCTGGGAGTGGTGAATGGACTGTCCCGAGGACCCGGCTCTTCGCTCCTCCCTTCCTCTCCGGGGGAATCAGGCCGGACCGCGGGGCGGAGGGTGGCCGCTAGGGGGCGTCGTGGCCGCGAATACCACGAACCCTGACAGAAATGGAGAACAGTTGTTGGTTCAGAGTCTCAACAGACGGCTTGAGTTTGGAGTGGGCCCCAGTGCTTTAATGCCAGCTCCCGCAGCCAAAATGTCTTCACGTGTCTACTTATAGGACGCTGGAACTTCTCCTGCAGTTAGTAAACTCCATGAGAACAAGAACCTGGGCTGGGTCTAGGACAGTGTCTGCATCCTAGGAGATGCCTAATAAGCATTAGTTAAGTGCTGAGCTCTTCCAGGGCAGTGGCTTCTCGGTTCACTCCCAGCGTTTACGGTAGTGTTTGGTGATCGCCGCGGTTTCCACATTTGTTCAGTGCTCTGTCACAGCTTCCTATCGTACAGAGCTTAATTCTGTGTATCCCTTTCCCCAAATCAGGGGAAACAGGAAGGCAGGAGGCTGCATGCAGTCAATTCCATATTTTCCCAAAAGCAGATATCAGATCCAAAACTCCATAGAACTGAATGTACTATGTGGGGGGAAATGGAGAGGCCCAGGCCCAGATAGGAGAGGCAGGAGAGAGATTGGTGAGTAAAAAAGAGGGGCCAGACTATTCTAGGCAGGGACTGAAGCCTGTCATGGGGGAGGAAATTTCCCCTACTCCGCCCTTCCCTCCTAGACGCCATAATCCAGCACCCTCCTCCAGAAGCCTGTCAAAACTGGGTCCTGGGATCTTCTTGATCTCGGGGAGGTGGTAGAGATACAGACAGTGACACCGGGAGCCACTATATATTTGTTAAACTTTATTTCCTCTGAGTCTCTGGGAGGCAGCGGGGATGTAAGGCGAAGTGGCAGTAGCTGCAGGGGCCTGAGCAGAGCTGGTGCTGGGAGGGGCCGGCATGGGCAAAACGAAGAGGAGAAGATTTAAATATCCAGGGCTGACAGTCAGCTAGTGGGTCTCCTTCATCTGTCTTTGGATTTTGTGCAGCATCTCCTGCATCCGCCGCAGCTGGAACAGGCACATGGCATCAAAATGGGTACTTTTAGAGAGTCCTATCATGTTGGGGAAGCGTTCCCACGCTCCGATCCCTTGGGCCAGGGGTAGCCTGGGGTGTGCCAGAGACCCTGGGTAGAACCACTAATCCACCAATGCAGGACACAGATGTGCACCAGGGCCAGGGATCTTCCTATTCCCAAACCAAGAGACACTAAGGTTTATGAGCAAGCAGGGGACCTCCCAGGCTGTCAACCCCATACCGCTCTCACCTCCTCATCTTTCTCTCGTATCAGCCTTTCAGTTTCTGGATCTGTCCCTGGTGGGACAGCAGGGATGGGGAAGTCGGTACCACTCTCTCGAGTCAATTTGCTAAGGGAAAGGGAAAGGGGGCTTGGTAAGGCTAAGGGGACCCCAACACCTGCTTGGATTGAGGTGTTGTAGATGAGGAAGGGCTCAGTCTCACCCAAAGTTGTGCTTGGGATTCCCCCCTGCCAGCTCTGCCCTGGCTTTTGACCATACTTGCGATTCCGCTCTTTCACCACCAGGCGGGTCATGCTCTGGATACACTGTGCCCGGTAGTTCTCATAATGTGTCTCCCGTGTCACATCCTTCAAGTCCTGCATGTGAGTACGCACCAGCATTGTCCTCAGCTTCACAAAGTCGCAGTGCCCTGGGTTTTCCACTGCATAGCAAGGCTAGGGGTCAGCCAGGGGCATGGGTAGGGGAGAGTCACTGAGGGCAAGGAGGTCCCCTGGTCACAAGCTCAGTGCTTTACCTTCCACGATGCCCCAAGGGTAGAGACGGCCCCTGACTCGTCGCCCTCTGGCCTCTACCACGGTGTTGCTGCCAATTACAGCAAATGGGATGCTTTCCTGGAAAAAGTTTGGGGTGTCTGTCAACACCCCCCTGCCCCCATTCTCACCTGTTCCTTTCCACCTGTGTCTTCATCATCTCTGTTCCTCTCTAGGAAACCAGGGTCCTCTCCCACCCCCAAACAACCCACCCTTATATAGAATTCTACTTCTTTGTTCTGCCCAGAAGAAACAAGATGGGTAAGGGATGCCCTGGGGTGGCCACACCTTTAGGGCTTGGTCCTGTAATTTGAAGTCCTCATCCTCATCAGAGTCACAGTCTGGGAACTGGTAGATCTTGATTCCAAAGTGCTCTATCTCCTCCCGGATCTGGCAAACACATGAGGGGCCCACAGTTCTGGGGACCCCATCCTTCCCAGAAGCCCACCTGCTCCCCTCCCTGCACCAGCTCCCCTCACTTTGCGTTTCTTGTGCTCCACTTCAGGAGGTGTCAGTGTGTCCGCCTTAGCCAAGATCGGCACGATGTTGACCCGCTGATGCAGGGCCCTCATGAATTCAACATCCAATGGCCGGAGCCTGGGGAACAGGAATCTGTGACCACCTGCTTGTGGCAGCCCTGCCCCTGGGGCTCTCGGCCGGTTCCCTCGGCAGCACCCGGTGTTGTCAGGAGCCTCGGGCTCGGACCATACCCGTGGCCGAAGGGCGAGATGAAGTACAGGCAGCAGTGCACCCTGTTGTCTTGGATGTTCTTGCGGTTCAGGCCACTCTCGTCTCGGAAATACTGCTCGAACTGCTGGTCGATGTATTCTGCCACAGGCTTCCAGCTAGGTGGGGACAGACAGGCAGGGAAACGGTGGCAGTGGGGCTGCCTAGTGAGCTCTGGGGCCGCAGAGCTGCCCCCACCCTGAGCAGTGTTTTCAAGACTCGGTTATTCCCTGGCTTGCTTCACTACTTCAGAGAGGTACCTGGTGGGACAGAGGTGCATCCCATGTCCTGACAGAAAACCGGCTAAGCACAGAGGTGGAGTTCAATAAATACTAATTTGATGGGAGGAAAAGAGCCCAAGTGACAAAGCAACTGGGGGAAACCAAGGCAGCCCTAAGTCAGGTTCATGGTCCAGCCTCTCCTCCACCTCTTCAAACCTCCTCCATCCTTCAAGGCCATATCCAAGAACCATCTTTTCCACCAAGTCTCCTTTGATTACACTAACGCACACTCTCCCCTTCTCTTCACCACACAGTGAGATGGATGATAGATAGGTAGGTAGGTAGGTAGGTAGGTAGACAGGTAGAAAAACTGAGGTTCTTGAAAATATATATGATAGATTATATAATCTCACTCTGTGGTAAAGAGAACGGGGGCACATACAAATTTATATATCTATAGATATAGATTCAAGAACCTCAATTTTCCAGTACTTTCCTCTTCTTTTATCTCATTGAATCCTGATAGGTGAGCTGATTAGAGGACATTCTGAGCATCATCACTGTCATTTTATACATGAAGGAACTAAATCCAGAGCAGCTAAGAGATTTGATCCTGATCATCTTTGTTGGGAAATTCTCTACCCAACGGGGTCCCTGGCTTTCTGATTTTCAGCTCAGTGTGTTTATCACTACATTGCCTGACCCATTTACTAATTTGTTACCCAACTGATGCACATATTAGAGAACTACTGCTCCCCACTCCCCACTGCCACTAGACTACAAGCATTTCAGGGACAACGATCATTCATACTTGTTCTGCATCCCTTAAAATGGCGAACACAGGCTGGACACCTAGTATATGCTCAATAAATTCTTGCTGATTGCCAAAACCGGTTTGGCTCAGTGGATAGAGTGTCAGCCTGCAGACTGAAAGGTCCCCAGTTCGATCCTGGTCAAGGGCATGTACCTTGGTTGCGGGCATATCCCCAATAGGAGATGTGCAGGAGGCAGCTGATTGATGTTTCTCTCTCATTGATGTTTCTAACTATCTCTCTCCCTTCCTCTCTGTAAAAAAATCAATAAAATATATTTTTTAAAAAATTCTTGCTGGTTGACTAAATGAGTATATGTGGAGGAGCACAGTCAGCTGTGAGATGCCAGGCAAATACAATATTATAATATGGACAATAAGAGGAGGGGATGGTACGGTAGTAACCAGGTGTTGGTTGGAGCTGGAGTTGCAGGGCAAGCCCAGTTTGCTGAGACGTATTCCTAGAGCAGGAAGAGTGATGTTGACATGGAGGCCCCCTCAATCCATCAGGAATATTTGTGGAGACCACAAAACATGTACTAGCACAGTGATGCCAGAAGAATGTAAGAAATGGCCCTTCCCTCAAGGCTTAGACTGTGAAACTGAAGATGAACCAGTGTGCTGAGCCAAGGTCCATGCTGTGATGATGAAGAGTGTAATGAAGGTTCAGAGCACAGAAAGGTCTGGTAGGGTCTGATTAGCCTGTGAGGTGATTATCCAGGGTCAGCTGCATGGGCGTGCGACCTGTGTAGTCACACAGGGGTGGGGTGCACTGGTTTGATTCTCTGTGGCCATCTAGAAGTTCTTAATAATTTTGAACAAGGGGCCCCACATTTTAATTTTGCACTGGTCCTGCAATTATCATCTTAAAATTCATGAGTATAATGTAAACAGCCCTTTACAGGTTCCAATGTACATTTACATGCATCATTCTAGGCCAGTGATGGCGAACCTTTTGAGCTCGGCGTGTCAGCATTTTGAAAAACCCTAACTTAACTCTGGTGCCGAGTCACATATAGAAATTTTTTGATATTTGCGACCATAGTAAAACAAAGATTTATATTTTTGATATTTATTTTATATATTTAAATGCCATTTAACAAAGAAAAATCAACCAAAAAAATGAGTTCACGTGTCACCTCTGACACACGTGTCATAGGTTCGCCATCACTGTCCTAGATGATTTTCAGATCAACTGGGTGAGGGGTAAAGGCCAGTGTTTTTCAATGGAAGAAGTAGGGATGCAGTTATTTGCTCAAGACTGTGCAAGACTTGAACTCTCCGTCTAGAGGTCTTAGCACTACCCTGCCTAACTTCTTCATCAAAGGCACCACCCTTTCTCCTGTCTTTATCATTCATTCTCCTCCTCATCTACTCACTCAGATCTGACATTATCCCTCCAGTTGCTGAAAAAAGCAAAAAAAAAAAAAAACACAAACAAACAAAAACACACACACACACACACACGAGAAAAAAACAAAAAGCAGGGATGATGGGGGTGGGAGATGGTATGGCAAAGCCACCCTTTCTTTTAGCTGGTAGCCTGGAGTGTGCCTGGAGTTTAAACAAAGTTCCACTTTCCTCCTCTGTCTCTTCTTTCTCCCCTTCCATTTACTCCTCCCTCCATTTCACTCTCACCCCTTTAATAACTCTAGTTTGTGGCACCTAAAGTGTTGGCTGTAAAAGGAGAGGAAGAAGGTAGGGTGACGTTTATTGAGCACTTACTATACGCCGGGCCCTGTTCTACATGTTTTCACATGTGTTTGCTTGTTTGAGGCTTTTCTTTCTTATCTTGTGTCCTCACTCCCATTATAGAATGATGGGTCAGAGTCAGAAAGAACATTAGAGATCATCTATTCCAATCCTTTCCCTCTCGCTTTACACAGCTTCCAGAAAGGAGCCGTGGCATGCTCAAGGTCACAACCCTCTTCCTCCTGACAATTTTGAATACGTGTGCACCTGGGTGTGTGTATGGAACAGGTGGTAGGTGGGGAGGCAGCTGGGGCTGTGCTTGGTCAGACATACCACTCTGTGTTGTTGACTGCATCCCCGAAGCCTGGTGTGTCCACGATGGTGAGCCTCAGCTTCACGCCCTTCTCTTCTATGTCTACTGCGTGCTTAGTGATCTCCACGGTTTGCATGATCCGCTCTGGAGAAGAGGGAAACTGAGGCCAGGGCAAGGACCTGCCCCGTCAGGATAAACTGCCCACCCCAACCAGCTCGGCTGCCCAGACTGCCTCATCCACACTGCCCCCCTTCCAACCCTGAGGCTGCCGGGGGCCTGTTCTCTGGGAACCAGCAAGGAGCACATTTCCCAACACAGGAAATGCCGGTGGCTGTTGGCTCTGGCCCCAGCCTCTTGCTGCTCTCTGCTCTTTTCTTGGATTCCTGGAATCCTTTGGGGGTCAGAGACTCACTCAAAGGGCAGGATTCTGGTCCCTGCCCTGCCTCGGCACCCAAGTCTTTAGGGAGCTGGCTGGTGGGCTGCCAGGCTAGATAGGCCTGTAGAGAGACGCTGTCAGTCTCGAAGCCATGGTTTCCTGTGTGCCGGGGAAGGCCCCATCCCCCAGACTCTGGAATGAGTTTGTTTTCCTAAGTCAGGTCTGCCTGCTGGTCATGCTCCCTCGCTTCCTTACCTTCGGCACTGAGGAGTTTCCGGTCCCGGTGGAGATCAGTGAGGAAGAGGCTATTGACAAGAGTGGATTTCCCCAGGCCAGATTCTCCTGGTTCGGGAGAGAGGACAGAAGTACCACGTCAGAAGATGAGATCTGTAGCCAAGAGGCAACCCCACTAGATCAAGGTGTGAGGGGAGCTGCTGCTTATTTATTTGATTGGGATGAGATGAACCAAACCATGGCATTTTAGAGCTGAAAGGAAACAGAACAGCTTGTCCAGCCTTCTCATTTGAATGAGGCCCCGAGAGGGACAGAGATGGCCCAAGGTCCCCCAGAAAGAGGCAAACAAAAGAAACCTGTGGGTGAAGTGTTCTTTGCACCACTTTACCCCGAGCACCATTTCGGGCACCCACGGCTCCTAGCTATTTTGCAAAAAGGGATAGCCGCTTGCTGCTTTCCCCTTCTCTACCACATACATACCATCCCCACCTGAAAAACCCCAGCCCAGCCCAACCCGGCCCCCACTCTACCTGCCACCATGAGGGTAAAGTCAAAGCCTTTCTTCACGGACTTGCGGTGAACTTGATTGGGGAGGGTCGCAAAGCCCACATACTCCTTGTCATCCTAGTGTCGGGGAGATGGAGGGTATCAGGGAGAGCGAGAGGCAGCAGGGGCCCCGGGACCTAACACGGGCGGGCCTTCTCCCTCCCTCCTGAGTCTTTGCCCAGCCTTAGAGGAGCAGGGCCAGACCCCTACCAGCTGGGCTGCTGATCCTGCTGATACTGTCAGTTTTCAATGCATATTGGGGCCAACTCACAGAGCTGGGGCCACACAGGACAGAGAGAAGCCCTAGCTCAACAGGCATGAACTAGTGTGCACCCACACACGCGCACACACGTGCATATGCACGCGCTCACACCGGGTTCTCTCTGCTCCCTCCCTGGGTCTTCTTGCACCAGCCCACTGAAAAGTAAGGACAGGACGGGTGGCTCTACCTCAGAGGAGTCGTAGGGATCAAGCTTGCCCCACGGGCTGCGGGGCCGGGCTGAGGCTGAGGGGCTGAGAGGGGCTGAGGCAGGGAAGTACTGCTGGCTGTCAGAGGGTTGGGGCCACAGGGGGGTTCTGAAATCCAGGTCATCTTGGTAGAGGTCTGGGGCCTGGGGCCTTGGCTCCGGAACTTGGGGCCTGGACACCCAGGTCTTGGCCTCTGGTTGGTGGCAGCTCTCATTTCCTGGGAAATCCTTCACGAACTTGTTCAGACTTATATCATCCGTTTCCTCCAGGAAGCGCTTGATCTGGGGGTTTGGGGTGGGGTGGGGTGGGGTGGGGTAGGCGGGCAGGAGGCAGAAAGGGAAGAATGAAGGAGGAAGACAGGAGAAGGCAAGAGGAAGAGAGGAAAGTGCTTGTGGTTAAAAGGCAAAGAAGCAGCCAAGCCAGAAGAAGTATTCATCCTCCCTCCCTCCCTCACCTGTTCACACACACAGGTCTGAGATGCCAGGAGAGGCCCTAGGGTCCAGGAGCAACTCCCGGCAGCCCTGAAGCCTAGCAAGGGCTCTTGAGAACTGAGTAGCTCCAGTCCTGAGCCCCCGCTCAACCAGGTGCTGGCTGAGGCTGCCCTTCCTGGGGGTCTGGCCAAGCCCAGGGTCAGGGATTCCCCCAAAGGCCAGAAAGTCAGACTGCCTAAGGGGAGCAGATAGAGGCATCAGAGCTGAGAGGAGAATGTGGCACAGGATTCCAGGAGAGCGCCTAGAGTCAGAGGGGCAGGGGCAAGAGGGCAGGAGGGAGGAGAGAAGGGAGCTGCCAGCCATGCCGCAAGAACCAGCAGGGAGCTCCATGCCTCCTGCCACTGCAGGTCGGGGAGCTCTGGGACTGACAAGCAGACTCCGTTGGGAGTGCTCACTCCCAGGGCTCACTGCCTGGAGCTCAGTACAGCTGACCTGACTCCCTCTTATTCCAGACAATGAACCACACCAGAGCCTGGGCCTGGGCCCCAGGGGAGAAGGATAAACCTGCCAGTGGATGCTGTGTATGGGTGGAGGGAGTCTAGGAGGGACCAGGTGATATAGGATGGGAGGACACTCAGATTGCAAATGTGGGGGACATCTAGGGGAAGCACCCCTCAGTTGCCCTTTGTCCCCTCTGCCTGGAGCTGGGCTTTACCCAGCAATGCCGGAGGGGATCTGGCCTGAACTGGGAACCACAGGGATGGAGGGCAGAGAATGGCTGGTTCCTCTGTAGAGACCAGTTCCAGCTTAGAAGAGAGGCCGCTCCCCTCCCTCAACCTCAGCTCTAGACCCGAAAGCTTCCTCTCTCCTTTGGGGGACAGCGCCCTTTGTGGGGTGCCTGGCAGTGCTGGGCTCAGCTCTGCCTTACAATAGCCACGTGCCACCCGAGACAATGGACAAGGGCCGGCTTCAGAGGCTGACTCAAGGACAAAGGATGGCCATGCCAGGGGGGGCTACCCTGGACCGCTGTGGCATCCCAGCCAGGGTTGGAGGAGGTCAGATGGCCACAGTCTCCCTGCAGGTCCCCATTTTACAAAGGGAAAAACTGAGGGGGCGAACACACACACTGCTAGGTTTGTGCCTGGGGGAAGGGGTTGAAATAGGGAGGCTAGAGGGAAAAGTCCCCTCAGAGCGACCTTCCGGGCTGACGCCTCCAAAGTCCCCACACCTGCTTGTAGCCATAGTCTCCAGGGCTCACCCGGATCGGGGAGGAAAAGAGGCCCTTTAGCCTGAAACTGGAACCAGCATGTGGGGGCTGACTGACCAGAAGAGGCTGTCCTGAGGCCAAGCCTGACCTTATCGGCTTTTCTCGCCCCTATTATTTATAGGGTCCAGTTTACGTTTGTTGTCCAGTGATGAACTGTGCCCCTTTCCACTCTCAAAAGTCTCCCAGCTTGGATGGATGATGAGTTATATGGCAATAGAGAAGGGCTGGGGCTAGAGGCAGGGGGGAGGAGAAGCAGGTCTTGTTTGCTGACAGCTAAAAAGTCTGGGGAATTCCAGGAAATCCTGCCCCTTGTACAACCTCGCAGTGGCCCAGCAGTTGGTCTGGGCATCAGATGAAGCGGGAGAGAGGACTATGCTCCCGGGACTATCTCCATAGGGGGCTGAGCAGGGAAGAGAGGGAAGGCACCGAGGGAGACGCCCCCTCCACCCCACTCTCTCCCAGCAGAGCCTGCAGGGAGCCAGCGCCATTCTCCCTGCCACCCCTGGCTGCTCGTCAGCATGGAGGGGCCCATAGGGGCTCCAGACAAGGAGTCAGGATGCCAAGGTCCTCCCCTCCTGTCTGTCCTTCCCCACCCCCAGCTCTGCCAATGACCAAATGTCATTTTCTGACTTGGAGCCCCAGTCCCAGACAAGGCAGGGGGAAGGCGGGTCAGGTCCACCCATCTCCCAGAACAGCACCTTACCCCAGCTTCAGTCCTGTCCTCAGGGACAGAGCTGCCTTGACATCCCATTGAACGGTCCATGTCCCAGGCTTCAGACTCCCTGTCCGCAAGCTCTAGGTCTAATTGTATCCCTCAGGCAAAGTTCCTCACACACAGACACAGCCTGGTCTTGACGCTCTTGTTGTAATCCTGTGCCCTGGCTTGCTCCTTTCCCTTTCTCTGTAACCCCCCTGTCTCTGTCAGGGGCCAAAAAAGCCTGTGGAATGTCCTTCCCCACCCCCTCGTCCTCCCCTTCCCTTGGCTCCCACTCTCCAAGGACAGCTCAGCTGCAGCAGGATCACTGGGTTTCTCTGCAGTTCCCTCCTCCTCTGATTGGCTGCCCCAGGATGCCTGCCGGCTGCCTTACCCTGGTGGGCACAGCACCAGCCTCCCAAGTCTGTCTGCAGCACAGGTCTTTGATCTACTTGACCTCTCCTGTTAACCTCCAAGGGCACCGAGACCTGTTCAGGGGGTCGTGAGCTATCCCCAAGGTGACCTGGCCCAGATGTACATGGGGCTGCTCTCCAGGAGACCCCACTCCCAAAGAGTCCAATCTCTCTCTCTCATCCTAACTTTAAGCAGTGCTGAAGTAGGGTGGGATGTCCTATAATCCCCTGGCCATAGGTTCTCATGGAAGTGGATCCAGCAGAGAACCCCACTATCTTCAGAAATCTGCACCTAGATTCCCCTGCAGAGAGCCCCAATAGGGCTCCTCCCACCTAAAGATGCCCTTGGGGACGTGTCCCTCCACCCCTGGCAGAGAGGCAGTGGGGCAGCTGCTAGCACTTGGTCTCTGAGGGGCATGAGTTCAGGCTGGCATCCCAGTGGTTTTAAAGTTGACAATTAGGTGGGAGACAAATTGAGGGGCCTGGCTGGGAGTGTGCAGATGGAGCACTTGACTAGGAGTCAGGAACCCAGTGTTTCCGGTTTGGCCAGAAACACCCTTTGTGATTTTGAACAGTGTTTTAATTTCAGGGCCTTAATATCCAATTGTGAATGGCCCTTCCTTGACTCCCAGGAAGGCTAGGGAGAGAAAGCACTCCCGGGTGAGATACCTCAGACTGCTTTGAACCTGAGGAGAGAAGGTGCATCAGAAATCTCAGGATGGTGATTAATGTTGGCCTGTCCTTTTTGCATGCAAATTAAACCACCCTGGGGCTCCTGGGCTGGTGAGTTCTCCCCACTGATCTCCTTTC